GCCGACACCCACGGAGGAATAAGGTGACAGTGATCAGAAGTCACATGACCCACGTGCACGCTTTCTCACGGAGGCGCCCGTGAGGCCGAGAGCTCTCCGAAAGAGTACCATCAAGCTGGTGATACCCAACGCCAGCGTAGCCGCTGAAATTGCCGCCACACCGAGATTTAAACTCGCGATTTCTCCCGTCAGGACGAACGGTGGAAACATTTCTTTTGTAAATTGAGCCAGTATAGAAAATTTACATAATGAAGTTTATTATGCTTTTCCAAAGAACTTCTTCCATCAATTATAATTCTTAGGATGACCAATTCCTAATTCATACATGCATATAATAGTGGATAGTCAGTCACTAATTAGTTGCGGAACTCACTCGTCCCGTTGGGCTCGCTCTCAAGTCTGACCAACAGCCGATCAACGACTAGCGTATTGTGGGCAGAAATAAATTACCAACAAACACAAGGGAGACTGGAACAGATGAGTCTTTCTGAGTTAGAAGTCGTCTTCGGCCAGCCATACCCAAACATAGGGATGGCGACCCCAGAGGCTGGAACCCACGACATTGTTAGTTAAAAATCCAGCGCTCTAACTAATGAGTCCGTGGTCCAGTGGTAGCTTACCATAAAAATAAAAGTACTTTTCTCGTGATGACCTGTCCTCCTCACTAATGCCTTGGGACAGGCATTTGCACTTCAGTCAGCAATATACATACAAATAAGCATAAGGACATTACGAATAAGAGCAAGAGGGACTAGGCTGGCCATTTCTGACCTATTAGCCGTCGCCCGTCCATCAAATCTTACCCCCAAGTGGTGCTACTGTATATATGAATATATAAATCTGCAAAACTTACCAGAATTTTCAGATTATTCAGTTCTTTACGGAAGTGCAAGTAACGCAGCGCAATACCCACGGCGGTAAAGACAATGATAATGACAAAAAGGGCAGTTTGGAGACAAGCATTGGACTGCAGCCTATTGGAGATTTTGTTTGCGGCAATGGAATTTTGCTGGTTTCTAATCCAACAATAGGCGAATACATCCAGAGCAAGGGTTTCAAGAGTCCAGAAGCAGTAACAACCAATTCCCGCGTGACCCATCATGAAAGTGATGGTAAAGGGAACATCAAACACCAGGCCTAAACATTCCACTATCCGTGTCATAATGTTCGCCTTTGAAGGGTTGGACCGCTCTGCGTTGCCACAGCATATGAAAAGTTCCGTTAACCCAGCGATGCAAGCATTGGCTAGCAAAACATACACCAAGGGCATGGGTCCGACCGACGCAGCAAATGCACTGAGAGCTAGTAGGCGTGCGGATAGCATGAATAGATTGGAAAGGCAGTAGAGATAGGAGGATAGCTGGAAGAAGTCGCAAGGACAGGGGCAGTACATTTGTTCACGGACGGTGAACCAGAGATTGGAGGATGCCAAGGACATCGTTAGTAAGGAAGATACGACCGAGCCAACTTTAAGGAAGCCTGGAACAGAAAGAAAGCCTCACATGACATGATCGTTTAACCATTGTGTGCGGCAGTGTCCACGGTGTGAACCACTGTGTGTGCACATAACCAGCGACTTTCGGTAATAATCTAGTTTCGGGCTCACGTCATCAGGCAAAAAACCTCAGCATTACGTAATACGGCACTGATGGGGTTATAGGCGTGGGCATAACAAGGACAGTGCGTCATATTTTAAAGTATAACTTTCTAATATAGAAAACAGTGGATAAAGATGCTATAAAAAGCTAACATAAAGCTACATAAAAACGCAGTGATAACTGAAAAATGAACAAGTAAAAAACCGAATAATCGTGTCATCTCCCGCTCCCCTTTGGCTGGGAGGGTTTAGAATGGGCAGCAGAATGTACGTATAAACTTTAATTGATTAAGCAAATAAAAAGGGGATAGGCTACTGTTTAGAGTTAATTGGGGATAAATATTGATTGGAGGATTACGAGGATAAATACGACTTCAGTAATCTTGATGATGTTATGCAAAACGTCAGGACCGCGACACCTCGCAACGGATATGTCATTCCGCTTCGAATGGAGGAAGCTACGAGGAATGTTACGAAAACACGCGGACGGATTTATGTTCCGATGGGGCATGTACAAAATAAAAGGAATTCTGAGAACCAGCTCCATTTTTAAAAATAGTTGCCTAAGTATCAAAGCAGTGATGAAGATAATGCTCGCATATGTTCGATGATTCAGGGTGAAAGTGTGTGAGTATTTTTTTTATCCAGGCTAATGCACCAACTTTGTGCGGGCATTCCCTTAAATTTCGCCGTGGCAAAGCAAGAATCGACGGAAGAAAGTTCTTCTTCAGCAAGAGAGTAGTTGCAGCATATAACGCCCTTCCCGAAGAAGCTGTCCTTTCCATCAGTCTTAATACATATAAGAGCAGGTTGGACACGCATCCAATCCCATTCAGACAAACAGCCATGTAAGACGACATTAATTTACACCGCATTACACCATACTACATGTGGTTGAAGAGAAGTTATGTTTTATTACGATTTGGACCACCGGAAAAATGCTGTGTCTTCCCCAGGATTCACAGCCGTGTACAAGGACTTTGAATTACATTAAAAAGACATTTACAAGAACATTGAATTACATTACACTACGCTACTAGTGATCAATGAGTAGTCATTCTTCATTACTAGTTGGACCCCCTGGCAAATGTTGTCATGCAACTGGCGTACTATTTACCTCCTACTTTGTATCCATATATTTCCTATCATCTTATTACCAATAGGGAGTTCAAAGGCGTTCGCCTACTTTACTCTCAATAAACTGATACTGATACTGAAGACAACGGAGATGCACATGTTCGGGTGATTCTAAAACCAGGACACTAACAGACAGCCCCACAATATAGAATGTCCGAACGCTCACTATTTCAGGTTAATACTTGTAAGATATGTATTTTATATTTTAAAAGTTTTGCTTAACACGTAGAACAGAATACATTTTTGTGGAATATAGACTGAAAATATGGATGGGATATAACTCGTGGAACCACGATTGATCTTCTATTTTTTACTATAAAACGGTCCTTCAATGTTGGTAGGCTTTCAGGGAGACGGCTTGGGCTGCTTTTGCGTAACAGGGACTTTCTTGTAAAAATGAATAGATTTAATGAGTCATATCACGTACCCTAATCCACGGGAAAGTCACAAGTGATTTGCCAACGTATTGAATCATGCGGGAGACGTAAGTGGTCAACCTATCGTGATATTGTCTCGTAGTTATCTTTGACGTACAGTATTACGAGTCCTGCAAGCAACTTGCATAAGTTTGCAAATGTTTGATTATTTCACCATACCAGCGAGAATGCATTTACGAAAACTTATAAATAATAATGAGGAGGATGAAGCATATTAAGAATTTAAAGGAATTATAGGAAGTACTAAGTGTTTGTTGAGAAAAATAAAATTTTCTCGGTAGTCCTCAGGTTTTGGAGACGTAAAAATAGCTATAAATTAGAAAAATAAATTTAAATATTTTGTTAAGTACAAAGCTTAAAGCAATCACTTTCTTTATATAAAAAGAACTTGTCTTTCGTCAAAATATTTTGTACATATTACCATTAGTGGATAACTATTTATTGAATATCGCGGAATAAAGTCTCTCTCCATTTTGCTTGTTTACAATTTCTTCATTTATAAGTTGATAAATTGCGCTTCTGTTCGCCGTTTACATCAAAACTTTCAAAATAAGATATAACTAAACAGCATTTACCGAAAAAAATCGAGCTTTTGGATATTAGTTCTTATGCAGATGGCCGTGTAGGTCGAATGTGGAAATGCTTCAAAACAGCAAACCACATTGTCGAGCGTACAAAATGTCTGCTAGATACCAAGCATTTTGTTATTCCTATGA